TTTCCAAGTAAAAATGGATATGCAATGAGACACAATATAGGGACTTCATTTATCAGTTGGAAATTGATTGAATCATGAAAAGTGGTTTCCATGTTTTATCATTTTTCATGGATTTATTTGTTTAATCGGGATTTTTTTTAATCACAGGCGGTTAAAGGTCCCATATTGTACACCTTTCTGGAGTTTTGTTTTAGGTTTTGATGTCCTTAAGAATATATATAAATATATATTCTTAAGGACATCAAAAGATTCATCAAATTTGCGGTATAAGTACCAAAAACCATCTCAATATATTTTTTACAGCTTACACGTTAGATGTGATCCACCTCATAGTAACAATCCTGTCAGATCGTCGATCCTTTGAGTGAGAGTGTAACGTTACAGGTCGGCCGATCTGGTTTCATGGTTAAAGTTAACCTTTTCGACATGCTTCCGTGTTGTCGTTGCTCAGCAAAAGCATGGACGCGATGTTGCCTGGGGGTTTGGCAAAAGGAGAGTGGGACTGTGGGCGGTGCTCGGGGTGGTGACTGAAGGCAGTGACTGTGTAGGCCTAGTTCTGACGTCAACTTTTTACGGAAGTCACAAAGGTTCTGAAAAATAGCTAGAAATTTAAGCAGGGTGTGTTAAATTTACTGTTCTGACGTCAACTTTTTACGGAAGTCACAAAGGTTCTGAAAAATAGCTAGAACTTTAAGCAGGCTGTGTGAATTTTACTGTGGACTGACTGTTTTGAGACTTATATGGTAGTTAAATAGCCCCTAGATCTCAGTAATCGTGAAAAAAGCCAATATGATTGACAATATGGGACCTTTAAGGAAGATTAGGGTAAAAAAAATATTGTGACGTCAACCAAAAAGGTTTTAATGAAAGATTTTTTTTTTTTTGTCTTTGCACTTACTGTAGGAATCATTCTCAACATTGGGCCAGAAATATGTATTATTGTACTGAAAATTTATCTGATTTCATGCTGACTTTAAGCTAAAATTATCTATAACAATGCTGCAGTTTATTTTCTTCACAGTATAGACTTTCTTACACATAAACCACCACAACAAATACCACATTTACTATGCAAGAACGTCATTTTTGGGCTTACCACTTTTAATTATCATCTTTACATCTTAAATTATCCCGAACTCCTACTTTCTATGTTTGTTCATACTCATAGATTTTTCTCTTTGTGAAGTCCCATGCTTTCCCATGTGGGTAGTTGCTGCGCTAGTCCTGGAATGCTACATTGACATACTGTACACTTAGCCGTCTAGCCGAGCTTTACATTCACACTCAACTGAACGTGTGCGAAGGAAACATTAGGGACTATTTAAAAAGCACTTTGAGGAGCAAATCCCTCTTGGCAACATAAAGTTCAATTAAGCAAACAACCTCTGCTCGTTAACCCTGCCCCACGCCTCACAATAGATCAATAAGGTCATAAAATGTGTGCTAAAAACTAGCATGCGGTGCAGCGCCTCTCCTGTAGTTCCTGTATTGTTAGACCTAAAAATAACGAATTAAAGTGCGAAAGAGAGGAAGAAAGTGAAGCCCTGAACCTGCGAGATGATGATGGCACCTCTTTAGTCCTCCTGGTGCCTTTACTTTTAATGTGAGCATTAGTGCATGGCGTCTCTCTGGACCGCTGCACTTCTCTAGCTTAATTATTAAGAGTGCCGTCTAATGAACTGCAGGATTACTGAGGTGATAATCGCTGTCTTGGTAGGTGCATTAAGTCTTGTTCTATGTCATTGTGCTCTGAGGACAAGAAGAGAGAATGGCAAATGGAGGAGGGGTAGAAAAGAGAAGAAAAGTGAAAGAAAAGCATATAAGAGAGACAAAGAAATAAAAGAAAAAGACTATCCGCTCTCTGCTGCATCTTCTGGGACACGACACCGTGCGGCTCACGCTCCCAGTGTGAAGGCTGTAACCTGTTAATATGGGCGCCGAAATTAACATGCGATGCTCACGCCCCACTCACGGAGCATGTGTTAAACAGGCCTAACTTGCTAAAATTTGTCTGAAGTTTAAGTTACTCAATATTAACTTCTTGTTTATAGAACTCTTGTATAAAAGCAAAGCAGGGCCCTTGGGCTCATGCCTATGGCAGAATCAAAGACATGTTCAGCACAGCAGCTGTAAAAAGGATAGTTATTTATTATTTAATTTATTTTTATCTATCTATTAATTTAATTTAATTTAATTTAATTTAATTTAATTTAATTTTTTGAATGCCATGTCAGCAGCAAGGCTATCTTAATTGCAAGAGCAAAGTAAATAACCGTCATACAATTAAAAAGACATTTAAGACAAAAATTCTAAAATACATTAAATATATCAGTTAAACATCGTTGTCTATTAACATTAAAAAAGTGCAGTCCAGTAAAACTAGTTTGACAGGTGTAGGAGATTACTCTAAATCCTTAATAGATGAGCCATGTTCAAATCCAACATAAATATATTCCTTGGTGGAAGAATTGGTAAACACTTTACAATAAGGATCAAGATCAATTCAATGCATTAAAACAATTTTTACAGCATTTATTAATTTTAGGTCATTAAAAAATTTATTATTGTTCATTATTAATTCAAGTTTGTTATTCATTAAATGTTATGTTAATTTTCTTAGCTTGAAATGTTAAAAATGTATATACAGAATTTATCATCTAGAATAAAAAATGCTGTAAAAGTATTGTTTATCCTTTATTTCATGTTACCATATAGAGCCTAAAAAGTTTTACTAGTATGTTTATTCCAATTTATAATAAAAAATATTATTATTACTATTTTAGTATAAAATATTTTTAATTATTAATATATATCACCTTGCAAGTTTTATAAGAGCAATAACCATCATGCTGTATTTGTGTACAAATACACAATAAGGCATTTTAAAAGAACACTTGATTCTAAACAAACGTCTTGAAAACTGATTATCTGCCAAATCTTGTTGTAATGTTGGACAGATGTCTTACACAAGACCATACACACTAAATGTAGGCCTAACATCTTCCAGCTCTAAATGCATATATCGAAAACATGTTTTGTTGACATACGTGGGTATCACCGACCACAATATTTTATACACCTTCTGTTAACACCAGGTATTGTGCATGAGAGCACTTGAAAATACACGTATGTGACCCAGTTCTGTCCACAGACTTTCACATTTGCCGTTAATCTATGTAGTGTGTAAAGGCCAGTGTTTGCCGTGTGTTTTACACACCGTGTGCCCTGTCAGAAAAAGGGGCCCCTCTGCGTGGGCTTGACATTTCAGCAGCCTGCCGTTGGCCCCTCCTGCGATCTTTGCACACACATGCGCTCAGAACTTCCCACGATGCCTCTCTTCGTTCCCACCCACCAGGGACGTGCTCCGGTCTCATTTACCCATGAACCCCGGCGTTCCTTCCCCCATCCCGCCACGTCTTGCCACGGACGATTGTATTTTTGATGTCCAGAGGGGCAGTGCTCCGATTTATCATCTTTTAATGTGACATCTCACATTTATCACTCGGGTGTTAGAACACGCAACAGCCATCGAAAATGAGCTTCATTAGCTGGATATTGTGGCTGTAAGTACACCGGTTAATTAAATTCAAACAGACTCCGCCAACCAGAGAGGCAATTATATTATATGCACACAACATGATGAAGTATTCCTTGCTCTGTTAAAGAGGCAGCGCAGCATGCAAATATTTGTGTGTCGCTGACCCCTCTAGCGGTCTGACGGAGACGGCCCGGGCATCGCGCTCTGTTTGATTGTGTTAATTTGGCTTTTTGAATAATATATCAGGCCTATATCACTTGTGCAATTAAGTACCGCCCGAGTCCTGATGATTACAGCCTGTGACGAGAACACCTTACTGTGCATTGATTTTTTTTTTTAATCTCATTGTTTAATCTCATCTTCAAGGCACTTTTGGGGATAGTAAGTGGAATTATAGCTATTCACTTTGAGGTAATAAATTGTTAACCTGCTAAATTCCTGCCCGTTGTAAAGTCAGATTGTCCCTATAGGTCACATTCTGAAATCTATCTCAGTAATGTTAGCTACGATCAGAATTGTGCACCATTCAGAATTCAACTGATATTGTCTTCTAAATTTGAATTGAATTTGAATTGTGCTTGCAAACGGGATGCAAAATTGCAATTCATATTTGAATGTAAGAAAGTAAAAATTACAGTAACACTTTATTTTAGGGTATCTTAAGTAGTTGCTTATTAGCCTGCATATTACTAGAATATTAGCCATTTATTAGTACTAATTAAGCACATATTAATGCCTTATTCTACATGACCTTATTCTACATCCCTAATCCTACCAATACCTAAACTTAACAACTACCTTACTAACTATTAATAAGAAGCACATTAGGAATTAATTAATTAAATTCAAACAGACTCCGTCAACCAGAGAGGCAATTATATTATATGCACACAACATGATGAAGTATTCCTTGCTCTGTTAAAGAGGCAGCGCAGCATGCAAATATTTGTGTGGGAAAAGTCATAGTTAATAGTGAATAAGTGTTCCCTATTCTAAAGTGTTACCGAAATTACAATAAATGGAAGGTAAAATAAGTTTGTTGAGACCAAATTTTAAAAGCAGATAGATAGATAGATAGATAGTCATTCAGTCTATCTAGATAGACAAAAGGATGTATACAGTATGTTTGTATTTAGTTAATATATTTCATCCTATTTGAAAATAATAATTGTGTTCATAATTTCCTAGAATGCGTTACCTGTTCAAATAACAGATTTCAGTAAATTCCACTTCCTTTCATTCTAATTGAACTTCATGTATGGTAGCAAATTTAATTCAAATTCACACTCACAAAATGAATTCTTCAATAATGAATTTGGCATAACCCTTGTTTAAATAGTGTGAACGAAAGTGTGACGAGCTCATAAAGGACTGAAATAAAGAGTCCCTCACAGAATCAACAGTCACATAAAAAAGTAGAGCAAATAAGAGCTCCTCTCTGCTTTCTTTTCTCCTCATACAGCAGTTTTGACAGGCGCTTAATGGCTTTTCCACAGCGGAGGGCCCCAGGAATGTGCAGGCTGGGCTCCGGGTAAAGGAGCGGCGCAGGACCGGGATGGCCACAGATGTCATGCCGCAGCCTCTCTGTCTCTTTTTCCACTCCATTGAGCTTGTTACAGCCGCTCTCCAAACGCACCCTGCCTCCACATCCTCTTCTGAACACGGCCCTCTCCGCATGAGCCGGGAGCATGGGAGGCCGCTGGAAATGGGTTGTGAAAAAGGGCTCCCAGGGCTCACGTGAAGAGTGAAGGGAAAGAAAGAGAGGAGAGAACGACCCAGCACACCTGCAGGACGACCGGGCGCTTCACTGTGCTCAGGCCCATCCAGTGGATCGGTGGTCATCTTGTCATGACTTTTGCCCTCGCCCCCTTCGGGCCGCCCACCTGTCTCCCATCATGCCCTCCGTACGTCTCTGCCGGGCACCTCCCAAAATCAGCAGTACCTCTTGGGCACAGCCTCCCATTAAAGACATCTGTGCATAGGCGATGAGCAGATAAATCATTTTTGCAGAACAATTTTGATAAATGAGCTGTTCGCTTTGGAGTGTCTGTGCTTCTGCGCTCCTTTACCCCAGTGGTCCACGGTCTCTGTTTCCAACATGCTGCAGGCTTATTTTAAACCCATGTATACACACACACACACACATACACACATGCCAAAACCACCTCCTGCCAACAGCAAAGGTAGAGGAAGTTGGAAAGAGCTTTAAATAAGGAAATGTTTTGAGGCAAGTATTGCATTATTTGGCAAGTAATACTTCCAGTTAACATTAACAACCTAATTTAGACATAAATTAACACATTGGGGAGACTGGCTAGTTGCCACACTAGGAATTGGTCACCAGGGCTATATCTCAACTGTAAGGAGTCAAAAGTCTACACAACTGTGTGTTTTCTTTAACAGTGATATGTTGGCTTTACCCGTTTATTACAATATCATCTTATTTTTTAATGGGTAAACAAGGAACATGGTGATACCACTTTGGGATCCATTAACCCTGTCAAATATATAACAAAGATAGATTTTAACCAAAAAAATTCCAAAAGAAAATCAGGTTGGAGGTTGTTTTATATGTTGCAATTTTAACATAATTTCTAATTACAATTTCTGCAATCCAAAACTTTTTAATTGTTTTAAATTTTGCTGAATGTACAGAACATATATAATTAGACTTTGAAAAAAATTAACTGAAGCATAAAGACTGACAACTATCCCCAAGCTACCCTATGTAGAAAGAAATTTGTGAATTGTAAGAAACAGTGTAATGATGAAATAACAAAAATACATGAAATATGATACAAAAATATTTTAATATTCTGTGTATGAATGCATTACACATTCATATTATTTTCATCTCAAAGGGATTGTAATAAAAGTATAATATTAGAGGAACTCATCTAATATTTCAAATGTTGTGAATGTTTTATTTAGCGTACATTTGTACCAGTGTCAGAAATGAACTTTTTTCTTAACAGGCTGGAAATGATTTTCAGGGTTATTTTATGCGGTTATGAGTGCAGATCTTTTCTAACATGTAACACACAGTATGTATCCACTTCTGTTAAATCAACTTTATTTTAATTATTTATTTTGCAATTACCCCTGTAAAGCATGCTGGCAACTAAAAATCCATTGCCCATTTTCAATTAATGCTACAAAAATGATTTAGGTAGTTTCAACTAAAGTAAACGTTAATTTTACATATTTAAGTAGACTGGACACAATTAAATTGAACAGTAAAATTGAAGTAATTGAAGTAAAATGTTCAGCAATTTGGCTGCTTTAATTCATTTTAATTAAGTAAATTTAACAAGCATCAAAATAATTTTTACAGTGTATATCCAGCAAATAGGTAATGCGCACATGACAGACTTCATCAGAGACAGCAGAGTGGCCATAAAGAGCTCACGTCACTGAGACACACCCACACATATGGACCTACACCTGCACACACACACATCATCATCATCATCATCATCATCACAAACACTCATTTACTTCTTTAAGGTACTTATCTCGCTACCTTGCTAACATTTTCAACTCAAATCCAGAGGTAAACCATAATCATTGAAGGAAATGTCATTTAATTTTTCATAACTACTGTCAGATGTATAATTTCTCCCATAAATGAGAACGGAATTCCTTCTAATGTTCTCAGTTCAAGAAACAAAACTCTGTCAAAAGCTCTCATACAAATCTGATAAATGTATTTTTATCCTTTCCCCCCACAGAACAGCGGTTTCGGCCCACTGTGTGCAGACGTCTGGCTGGTCTGTGACAGTAAGCATACTTGTATTGGAGTGCAGCGTGAGCAGTCTGTGTAAACTGCCTCCACCAGAGGCCTGTGGTTTGTTGTCCTACACTATATGCTAATGGAATCATAATGTTATTTAGATCAATCAATCCTCCTGAGCCCGCTGCATGACTGGATCTGTGGCGCTAAGGTCAAGAGCAGCAGGGGGGAGTTGAATTTGCACAACATCGCTACAACGCTAAGCAGCCCCCAAGAGGAGCAGACTTTCTCAGTTTGACTCTCTCTTTAGCTGTCTTTCTCGCTCTCGCTCACTCTGTCCGTGTCTCTTTGCAAGACTGGCCTTTACCCCTCTGTCCCCCCGCATCAAATCAGAAGGCAATGTCAGCTCTCACACAGACCCTGCTGGGATCACAGTGACCACTGACACACTCGACCAGAGCAAGGCCTGCTGGGAGATCAGAGTGTCCAGATCACATTCACTGACTCACACCAGCCATTATGTCTGTGAGTCAGTAAGTGGGGTCAAATGTAACTATAACTACAAATAAACATTTGAAGGGATATTTCACATATACAATGGCCCACAAAATAACATGGCCAGTTTTTTTTTAGTTTATACATGTATAAAAGGGTATTTTTATAAATTCATAAAACAAACTAGATATATATATATATATAATTTTATATACATTTTATTGTATACTTATTATACAGCTACTTTACAAATAAATAAAAAAGACATCAAATTTTGATTTGTGAGTGACACAACTGACATAAACTATCACACCTATATAAGACATTGGATGACAATAAAAATTAATAAGAATTATTGTTTATAATATTAGTATAGATAATCTGCAAAATGAACTGAAATAATTTATTATAATATGTATAAATAAGAAAGTAAACATTTTCAAGAAAAACAGTTTTCTATGCTCTAGGTTTAACACTACCTGCTCTAGGTAAAATACTCTATTACAGTGTTAAAGAATAATTAGCAACTTGGAGACTCACATATATGTATGACTCTCCATATAAGAATGGATCTGCGCTATAATATTACAATCAATATTCATTAGGTGTGAAGTGTACTCTAGTATCCTCTGCTAACATTAGCATAGTATGATAAATAATTTGTGTGGAAAAAACAACTTTTTTATTATTAACTTCAATTTGTCATACGCACTAAAAGCCTCCAGTTTCTCACAAAAGCCACACATAGGAATTGATTTCATGGTAGCTAATGGTGTTAGAATTACAGGCATTAATACACAACACATAACATATGGACCTGGTCACTTAGACAGGTGTCAGCGATTTAGAACAGCTAGACCCTATTTTTCATGCTCTACGGGGCTGAAACCGGGACGGCAAGAAGAACGCTCTGCATTTTCTAATGACAGCGTAATGAGTCGATGCGCATACATCATGGACACACGTCAACAAGACGTCGGCTGTCCAGGCTCCATCTTCCACTCACAAATCATAAAGCGCGTCCAAACGCAAGCACACAAACATCCATGCACTTACACACACACAAAACACACAAAAACTCCATCAGTCTCCCAGGAGGCCCATAGGAGTTCTCAGTACTATCCTGTCTCCCCTGACGATTCAGTTCACCAGGTGTTGTCTGCAACAGGCAATTAGTAGAATAGGTGTACCTGTCAATCACGGGAGCTGGAAGATTAGCTGCTTGCCCATAATTAGCGGGTTAGAGGCTTCTTGGCCCAAAGGATAAAGGCTTTGCCAATAATGGGCCCTGGGGTATTAATTACTGAAGGTCGAAGCTGCAGTAAAGGCCAGGATCTTAGCAGCAAAGCACGTAAGATGATTGTTTAAATTTCAAAAATAATACTGGTCTGACAGTTGTTAGTGTCCCAGGGGGTTGTGGGTACAAGGTAGCCGAGGTAATTAGTTTGAAGAGGAAAGGGCATGGTTGCAGGCGTGTTTGTGAAGAGCGAGAGAAAGAGAGAGAGAGTGAATGAGATGGGGAGCAGTCAGAAAAATGAAATAAGACAACGGCGAGGGAAAGTGCCGGTATGAAATGAAAGTAGACGCGGCGCATTTTTCCACCCCTACTTTAAACTGGCTGCCCACCCCTGTGGTCTCACTTACCGGCTCTCTCACAGGCATCATAGCCATGGCTGCCGACCTACGGTGTGGCACAGGAGTGTGTGTGTACACCTTATGTGTGTGCGTGTGTGGGTAGGCGGACAGGCAGGCAGGGGGTAAGGGGTCTTATTAAAGTCCTAAAGATGGACTGACAGATGCTGAGAGGCGAGGAAAACAAAAGAAGCCACTCACCTCATGTCGGCGGCCGTGGAGCGGCAGATGCCAGTGAAAATAACCGCGGTGGAGGGGTTCAGCAAGAGTTCATTCGGAGGAGAGGTGATGAAGTGGACCTGCCACCGGCTTACTGGGCCCTAGAGGCCCCGGGGGCGGCCCTGTTTCTGCCTCCTCGTAACGGCATTAAAGCCACTGAGAACCACGGCCACATTTCACTGGCCTCCTGCGGTGGCCAGCATCACAGCTGAGGGGCGGACGCACTTCGGTAGACATGTAAGCGGGCCGCGGATGAAGCGCTGTTCTAGATTAATGTGCCGTCCCGTTCTTGATAATGTTTGTGAGCGAAATTTACGACGCCTCTAAATGAAGACCCGAAAAGAATGGAGGGGAAATCCCTGACCTGTCTCCAGATTTTAATATCCCACTCTGTCTATCGCCAGGTCACAACAGGACGCTTCGTCTCACACTCGTGCACTGGCAGGGAAGACGACGGCCGTTACAGTGTGATTAACTCAAAGACAGGCTTGCAGCTTGGCGAACGAATGAGAACATGATCGACGGAGGCTGAGGAAAGAAAGCAGAGAAGATAAAACTTGAATAGAGGCAAATTTTATTCACAATGGTCTTTGCCAAAATTCCCTTCTCCCCAGCCGGCCTGAGAATCACTTGTCAAAGGAAAAATCTGGCGAGGTGAACCTGTTGAGGCTGGTTCTCCATCCAGAACCTGCACAGAGTTGGTCAAGAAAGCTAAACCCGAACCAATGACCAGCAGAGGGCAGTGTAGCTTCCACAGGTTTAGCCAGCAGGTTACTAATAAATCTGTGCTCATGTAAAACTCTGCACCTGTGACTGGCCACGGGGTCTGATCTGAGACGAGCCATCCGGTGCACCGTAAACGTGTCACTGGCCCTGCTCCTCACAGCGCAGTTTATCCATACAATTAGACTGCAGCCATAAATAAACATGAGGCAGATTTTTGTGCACTTTACCAGCAGGACCCTGACAAAACCCTATCCTCTCCTCCTTAGGGGAGAATGTAGAATCAGGAAAAGCATTGTGCAACTGCATCTTTTTTACTAACCCAAATCAGATCTCTTTACTATTCCTTATCATCAAAGTCCAACTAAATCTCATGCGATCTCTACTGTAGATCACATTTCAATCCTAAAATTATTCATATCTAGAGTTAGAGAGAGAATTTTTATCCACAATTTTTTACATTTTTAATATTATTATTTCTATTTATTTTTGGGTAATTCTCATTTCAATACTGTAAATAATCATATCATAGTAAGGCAGTGATTTTAATCAGTATACATTTAGGTATAAGGTACAAAAACACACAATAACATGATTTATAGATTTTATTAATATAAATGTTTTCTTGAATTGCAGTAATGCCAGTGAGATTTTGTTGGCATTCTATTTGAATTATGCATTCTAAT